TTGTTCGAACGTTATCTGTTTAATTAGTTTATTAAAGAAAATCCATAATATTGCCTTGTTTCTGTTATATGTACGCCTCATTTCTAAATGGCGTTCAAGTATTATGTTTTCATTTTAAAAATTAAGATGTTCACTAAATCCCTTGTAACATACCATTGGCTTTTCATCTGAAGACTTGGTTCTTCTTATTGAGTACTCTTTGGAGGTCCCTCTTTTCATCTGTTGATCTTTCTTCAGCATTCTTCACTGACTTGTTCTTCATACTTCTTTCTGTTCTTCATCTGTTCTGTAGGCGCCGCTTCATCTGTTCTTCATCTGTTCCTCTTCATCTGTGAATAGGAGGTCTGAAAAGTCATACAGGCCATGACCTCAGAACACTCCTATTGTGGCAGTGCTATTGCGGGTAGGTAAATTACCAGACCATTTACCCTTTCTAACCTGAAAAATATAAATACATAATTGCAAATGATTAGATGACTACCATTTTAAGTAATTTGTTAAAAACAAATACAATGTGTGAGAGGCCATGAAACACCCTTAAAATAGAGATCACAATTTGGCGTCATCATTCTATATAGGGTCTTGATTGGCTGATTACTCATATAAATACCATGTATTTGTTTATTTTTGAACAAAAATATCATGATTCACGAAACTGTACCAGAGTGTTGCAAGATATTTCAAATTAAGAATATCAAAATGGTTTAAAATTACAGATTAAATATTTCTAAAACAAACTTGCCTTGCGAGCTTCTGTGCCACACCATAAGCACTTGACGTCTGTATAATGAAGCTCTATCTGTTTACACCTAAAATTAAAAATATACAACTTAGTTCTTTGATATGGCACATATGAAACAAGCGTATTAGAGCTTCGGAAACTTTACAGGAGGCTTGTGTGTGTAATTAAGTCCAAACAATGGTGGTCATGAGATCAATTTCAATAGATCTGGCCGAAGACCAGCTAGTAGAATCTTATGATTATATACAAAGGTGAATGTGAGGACGCATATAAAAATTTGGGTTTGTGTTGTAAGGTTTTCCAAAAAATAATATTATGTTGCTAAATGTAATATTTACAGTGTGTTTATAATGACTTGTATAGCAACACCATATTCATGATAGCTATTAAAATATCTTTACCTGGCTTCGTTCCAAGAGTCGCCTTTAGGACATTTGTGCTCCACCATAACCGTATTGACCTCCAAATGTAATGTCCTGTTGAAGCTAAAGACCAGCTCCTTTGTTCTTGGAACCCTAAAAGTCAAGATTCTTATTTCAAAAGTAGCTTTGGGAAGTTATGTGCAAACAGTAATAAATACTTTAACAAAGACTAGAGGAATATATCCATTGCCTTATCTGGAAGTTATAAGCAAAAAGATTAATCTTTCTGTTAATTCTATAACATTAAAGCTATCTAAAAGTAACCTGGTAATGAAAATCTTGAAAACTATCTCTTTAATTATGTATATCAAATGTGAATAACATCATTTGGCCAATATCTCTGCTCATGGACAATCAATTTTCAAAGGTCACTCTTGAATTGATTAGTTTTAAGCTCTTGCGTCCAAGACTAAA